ATCAGTTCGCGGTCATACAATGTAGTTTATCTAGTACAATCTCCTACCTAGTGAAGTGTCATTTCAATAGAGTGTTTGAGGGGCAAGAATAATTCTTCTGACACCCCTTGTTTGCACTTACGCTCCATCCGGATCGAGAGAAAAGAGTTAAACAAAGACCTAATGTGAGTGTTGAGGTGTAGAAATTTCTCTTGCTCAGTCATGGTAGTAAGAAACCATCCTCTTGTGCGCAAATGTGTGAAATGGCAAGAAATAACAAAAGAAAATGAGCAAAAATCTCGTTGTGAGGAAAAGGTAGGAATGAGCTTAAAGTCAAATTAAAGTTTGAAAAGGCCTCAATTCATGCATTTTTTAGACTCTTGTATTTAGTTGATCGTGTGTGAGTTATGAAAGCAGACATATTTTTCCTGACGAGATTCTAGATCATTGATGTAGTCAAGTCTCCGAGTGTGAGGGTTGGCTACGTAAGTTACTTATGGTCCACTACTGACGATCGATAGTCACAAATCTTCATGGAGGTTTAGCAAGTTTGAACGGTTTTGAGTATGGCTTACTTTGAGACAAACAAACGGCTAAGTGCGAGGTAGTATGGTACAAAGCTCATCTATACATGTTTTACCCCTCGTCTCTTGATTGTTTCTTGACCATTTACCTTGGAAATGCCTTATCATTTGCCAATTTTGCGTAGGTTGTGATCTTTTACCATATTTCAGGTCCTAGAATGTGGTAAAGGGTTGGGAGCGAGTTTGAGGCAAAAAATGAGCAATAGAAAGCCGACAATGATTCTCACGACGATGGAAATGAAAATCACGACCGTTGGAATCAAATCTTAGCCAACGACCCTTGAGTGTTTTTTTTTTTTTTTGTGAAAATGGGTGCACCATATCGCTTCATCAATATTTAGACTATTTTAACAGGACAAAATAGTTGAACCATGATTTTAGTAAATAATATGCTACAACTAACTTTTTTGGCCTGATTTTACAACCATAGTGCTTAAGCATAAATCAAGCAGGGAAGGAACTCCCGACTAAGTTGTACAACGACCAATGTCTTGCATTTCAATATGAAACTCTTAACTAAATGAATTTATGTGCGTATTCAAGTTTGGAAATAATAAATTCATGGGAGAGCACTTATACGTCGCAGCAAGATTTGAGGGCAAATCTTTATCAAGAGGGAGTGAATGATGCGACCCCGCTCACCCCACATGGAGTTACTCAAGCCCAAATTAGATCTCTACATGGACCATGGGTTAAGAGATGATTTAAAAGGTTTAAAGAGAGCTTTGGAGCATTTAAGTTGGAGCATTTCAGCAATCAAATAGAGTGTTTTCAAGTTCAAGTGAAGGGTTTTGCTTAATCTCTCCTATGATGATTGAGGAGAATTGAGTGGTCTCTTATCAACTAGAGAACCTGTCTAGTTGTGGCGAGCATCGACTATATCGGTTGGTGTTATCCACGGGTTTGAGATTGTTTGATTGGTTTCATATACCAATTGGCCTTTCTCGCGAGTTCGAATCTGTTTGATCTTCCGCAAGTATCTTTTATTTTCTTGTTATTCAGGAAAGAAGAAAACCCCTCAATAGTATGACGTGTACACCTCTGGTGTTTTGGTCCAAATTTGAGTGGATTCTCAAATTAGGGTCATATCATGGCATCGAGTGTCCCTTATATGTGAGGACAATTTACAAGAACTTCAGCCTCACAATAAACATGAAACATGAAAACCTCAAGTATGACCCTTAAAAGTGTCAACCCAACTATAGCAGGATCATAGTCATGAACCGGCACCCATGATTCAGGGTTTTGCTTATAACTCACAAGTGAGAGAATAACGTAAGTGTCAAAATAACTTTAGTTTATTATTTGATAATGGAACTAATGTCAAACTTACATATTTATAAGATAGAAAACCTAATATTTTAAACCTAACCTATCCCTATGGCTAGCCAACTCGGCCACCTACCGCAATAAGACTTCTAATTGGACTTACTAAGCGCATGCACTAATATAACCCACCTACTAGCTACGTATATGAACTAACGCATAAGGGTAAATTGCAAGTTTAGTCATCGAGTTTACTAAAAAGGTTCATGTTTAGTCACTAAAAAAATTAAATTCCATTCGTGGTCACTAAAATTAATTTAATGGTTTAAATTTGGTCACTCTTCGTCCAATTCTGTTATCTTTATCCTATATGGCGGTCAACTCTAATAGTTGACCGTTAAATGAGTGATGTGGCAATTAAAAATAATATAAATAATAAATTTAATCCTTTTCAATTTTCGCCTCATTTTTAACAATAAATTAAAACAAATAAAATACAATTACCAAAACAAGTATTAATCCCTTAAACACCGCAACCCTCTCACGCCTATCCCGTCTTCACCCATCATCAACGCCTCGACATGTTGAATCTGTTACCAATATCTCACCGCAGACTCGAGAAGTCGAATCTCTCCGCCATCGTCGCCGATCTGTCCTCATGGGGCGTCCAGCTGCCAAACCCGTGCACGACTATGCGGCAGCGAGGACAAACTGGACCTTCAGCCTCTCTGTTTTCACCACTGGTACTCGATGCCATCCGGCGCGAGGAAGACGATTTGGACCTCCGGCCTCTCTGTTTTCACCACTCATTTTTCGTTTCCTTAGCCCGCCGCCTTAATCCCCTCCTTTATGCTCTTCTTGTTACATATTAGGCATCGATCTGACCCCAAAGCAAAAACTCACTCGAAAATTGCAGGAAATCTGCGGGAACTTTCTTTCACAAAAGCCCAATCTTCTCCCCTGTTAAATTCCACCAAACACACATAGACACCCCTCATCTTCCCTCACCGGCTGGATTCACTATTCACTACCGGAGAGCTTCATTACAGAAAGTGGTCTGGGACTTCTTCGACTAGGCGCTCGACTTTCGCTTGGTGACCTTTCCGGTAGCGCTGAGAGCAGCGGAGGACGAATTCCAGTTGCTTATGTTGCGGCGTGACTAAGGAGTGGGACGAAGGAAGCTATTTGGGTCTAAGGAGTGGGAGATTGGAGTCGGGGGTGGAGTAGTCGAGGGGAGGAGTGATGGAGTAGGATCAATGCATTTGGGCTTCTGGGTAGTGGAGAATTTTTAGATCTGCGAATCGGAGAAGAATGGGGAAAGTGGGGTTTTTTTGGGGGTTGTGGGGAGGAGGAAAGTTTTCCTCCGATTTGTGTGTTTTTTGGTTGTTTTAGTTTTCTTCCTCATTTTTTGATAATTATAATAATTATTTATTTATTTAATTAATTATATTTTTAATATGAGGTGGAAATTGAATAAGATTAAATTTAATTTATTTATTAATTTTTCAATTGCCACATCATTTATTTAACTGTCAACTATAAAAGTTGACCGCTACATAGGATAAAGATAACAAAATTGGACGGAGAGTGACCAAACCTGAACCATTCAATTAATTTTAGTGACCACGAATGGAAATGGGGTCGTTTGGATGGGTCATTCCCAAAATGAGGCAATTTGGATCAAAAGATCCATTCTAAAAAATGAGTCAATCTGGTGAGGAAATCTGCCAATAATGTGTCGTTTGGAATAGACTATGAGATGGAGAAATTTTGGTGAGTCAATTTGGTGAAATACCAATTTACCCTTATCTTCTGCAAGATTCTCCTCTTGTTTACTGCAATTTTTCGTCCCTGCTTCTGGGTTTCTTTCTGCCGAGTTCTTCATTTTCAAAATTCTACTTAAATCCTCTCGGATTCACCATATCCCTCACATGCAATCAGTTTCTGCTGTCATACCCACAAAACACAATGGAAAATTTTAAAAGGGAATAATAACCAACTAATAAACAAAATAGAACAGAAAAGCAAATCATAATCGCCGCTATTTTTGAAGTTTTCACAGAGAGTCAGAGATCAAGACGGAGAGGAGAAAGAAGGCAAGGTAAGAAGAAGAAGCCTTTTTCCTCATAGATCCCCCTAATAAACAGAGCAACGGAAAACAACCCCAAACCCAGGGAGAAGGCTACCAATCAAGCAATCGATTTCCCCCTAAATAAAATGAAACCCCCTAATAGTAGAGCATCCAATTTGAACCTAAGCTTGATTGAATTGATGAAAAACCTACCGAGAAATAAAAAGAATCCAGATCGACCCACAACTCAATTACATGCAGAACTCCCAATTGATTTCTGAATATTCAAAATCGCAAGCCCAATCGAGCAACAAACCCAGGTCCTCTCTTCCCTCTTCGTCGACAAACTTTACCCTTTATCAGATGGGTTCTCGTAAACATAACGAAACAATCAAGCTTCCCTTTCGTCGTCATTATATCATCCGCAAGAGGAAATAGAGGAGAAGGGAGAAGATTTGTTCTGCAGATCGTTTGTCAAGAGAGAAAAAGGAAAGAGAAGAAGAGAGGAGGAAGGGTTTAATTGTTGCAGAGAAAGGAAAGAGATGGGTTGTCTCTGGAGAGAGAGAGGGGGGAAAGAAAAAGGGTCAGAATTGGAAGGTGGGAATGAAAACGCGTCAATTGAGAATATCTGCCCCCACCCCAGGTATTCTCAATTGCCCCATAACGGTGCAATGTTAATTCCCCCACTCCAAATTGTTCCGTTTTCATTTTATCCAGCCAAATGGGTTAATTTGCTCCAATTGTCTCATTTTGAGCCAATTGGATCACATTGCCTCATCAAAAAGACTCATCCAATATGTCTTTTTCTTGTCCGTTTCATGCAAAAATTTCTTCTTGACACATTAAGAAAATATGAGAATATATAGTGAATTTTGACTAGTCAAAAATATCTTAAAAGATAAAGGCTTAAAAGGTCACTTAATTATGATGCAGCCTTAATTTTTTTTTTTTTTACTTTTCCATTATCTCTTACCTTTTTATTGGTAAGCAGTTATGATGTTGGCTTAAGTCCTTTTTTTGTCCGTTTCATGCAAAAACTTTCTTCTGACGCGTTGAATCGTACAAGACTGTTTTCTTATAGATAGCACAACCAAACGCAAAGACAATCAAATAACTGAGGAAACATAAAACTAAAATATAGAACTACCTCTCTCCTCTTCGGTTTTCCAAAGACATGGCTAAGTCTTCAGTACTATGCTTCTTGTTCTTCCTTCTGGTCATCTCCTCCTCAGGTAAAATTGATTAAGACAAATATGAAACATATGAAAAAGAATCAGAGTATATGAATGTATAATACTAATTTATTTATTTCCTACCTAAATTACTTATACTTGTGTGATTATTATAAAGGTGGTGCAAGGATTGTAGCGGAAGCTAAAGACTGTGGAGCGACATGGGATTGCACCACTGAAGAACGTTGTTGGGATGACTGCAGGAGTCGCTACGACGGAAAAGGACATTGTGACTACCGCACTCATCCTTTTGCTCCTAGGCAGTGTAATTGTTCTTATAAATGTTGAAGGGAAGAAAAAAATATCCATTATCGATAAGTTTTACCAATAAGACAAATGTCATTAGTAATAATATATATGGTAACTGGTAATACCAATGTGTGTGCCTGTGTTATGGTTTTATCACAAACCTTTTCTTCAACTCTTCCCGAAGAGTTACGACATTCTCATGTTGCATCCCACTTCTCCTTATCTCTTCTCAATGAAGTTTAGAATCCAACACAAAAAAGAGTGGAACAAGCATCCCACGAACCATAATTAGGGTCACCGAGATCTGCAATAGGGATGGATCCATCGATAAACCCAATCTTATGTTTAGTTTTCAAAGTCATTCTAATTGCTCGCTGCCACATCTGGTACTCTATACTATCTGGTTACCAAACAACATATCTTGACGCCTATTTGTTGTTATTTTTGTTGTTGTTAGATTGTGCTTGATTGCAATTCATGAGTACGGAATTTTATGGCACCTGCACTCAAGGGAATTCCATTAGTAGATCGAGGTAGTGGAGTTGTTATCATCGAGGTCACTGGATTTGTTCCAAATTTGATACAATATAGAGAAGCTTTGAGAGCTAGGATTATGAGAAGGAAGAAGAAGGTTGGATTTTTCTCACTCAGCTATGAGCTGACCCTCTTTTATTCTTCTACTATGCTTATGCCATGTGTAAGCAGATCATCAGCAGTAACAGTAGCAAGTACATAGGTGTGAGCGGACCGAGGAATTGAAGGCAAGATGAGGTACTGTCTTCAACTATTCAGTGCTTGGATGACTACTCGGGATTTTCGTCAGTGATCCACACCTTTTTGTGAAAATTTTTTGAGAATATTTTTCATGTGCATACTAACTCTTGATGTAGTGTGAGCTATCCACAGGTGTGGAAAGTTGATGATATGTGTATATATGCGTGGTCGTGTAAGTTGTGAAGATTATGGCATGTAAAAGTATGGTATGCAGTTACGGAGTATGAAATTGTGACTATGACTATGAAAAGCCAATGTATATGTTCTTGGGTATATATGTATGTCTACAAATGCAGTGATTCAGATAAAATATTTTGCAGGTTTAGTTGCAAGAACTGTTAGCCCAATAAGCGAGTAATTCATATCGAATTTTAATTTGAATAAATTTTGAGAATTATTGTAATACCCAAGTTAAATTTCGCTCAATTGCATGCACAAATTGATTAGGTAATACTTACAGGATATGGTGTTACACACGGATTGATGATGTATCACGAGTTTATTATTTTAATTACTATTGTTATTTGAGGATATTCAATGAAATTTTAGAGAATTTGGGGATTATTGAAAATATTAGGGAGATATGTGATTATTATAGTAGTTGATATATAGGAGCAGGAGACTATAAGTCTACCTTGATTGTCATTTTGGAGTAATTAAAAAATAAACAACCAAATTAATCAACGTCCCAATTTCCCTCTCTCTATCTCACGTCCAAACCTCCTCTCTCTCCCTTCTGTTCATCCACCACAAACACCAACCCACCCACAATTCCCATCATCACACGTCCATATCATAGCCAAAAAGGAATGTAGGAAGAATCATACATTTGGCAGGAAGTACAGATGATGTAGAGCATGGTTGGGTTGCACTAAGGTCTGAATTGGCTGGTGAGTTTACCTTTGTTTCGATGTCCATCATGGAGGAACAAGAAGAGCCCAAGCTTGAAGGAAAACAGGACTGCAAGGTGTTGTTTGCACTTTAGGAAGAAAGTTACAAAATAGTACACACGAAGTAGTTAATTGGTAGCAACATTGGTTGCTGGTCTTTTTACTGGCGGGGTGTTGTTACTGCTGCGGGTCTTTTTACTGGTCGAGTGTTGGTTTGCTATTGTTAGTCTCTCATTTATTTGTGTTGTTTTCTTTATGTAATTTGGCCAAAGAAGAGCTTCACTACTATCGTTTAGTTAAGTGTAAAAGTCGAGAAGACATGGGGTTTGAAAAGAGTGAAGTTGGCCACATGGTGGTCATCAGTTTGTTAAACCCAAATACTCATCTTCTCAATCATATGGGAAGAGTAAGCATATGTCAAGTTGGGGGAAACTAAGGCAGAACACTTGCAGGTCTGCTAATTGAGTGAATTGAGGATTTGTTAAGCATATAATACAGTGGCTTGGAAGCAAGCTTTTTATTGCTGGATCAACAATTTGTGCAGCATGGATAGTAAACTTGAGGATCGCCTTTGACATAGTCAAAATGCTGGTCTTTATTTCTGAATCCCATGCCAGAGAATGGCTAACTTGGAGCGAGGGAGAAAGCATCAAGCTTCTTTTGGGATTGAAGTTTTTTTAAGCATCCCGACAAGGAGTGAAGCCAGAACGGAGGTGTTAGCTGAAAATAATAACTTCAATGGTTGCCTCTTTAGTTTCTTTGCAACTGTAATATTGTTCATCTTGTATATAGACATACTTGAGCATTAAAAATACCTGAACAAAACTTGGAGTTGATTTTGCAAGGCATAAGTGAGTCCCAAAGTCCAATATTGAAACAAAAGAAAGTTAAAATGTGGAGGTTTTAACCCCACAAATTATTCTTCAGTAAAACGAGTTATTTAAATTAATTAACACATAAATAATATACAAATACTGCAATCTCAAATAATGAGTTATTCAGATTCTATATATGTAAAAGAGATCCTATAGATAAACAATTAATTATTTGATCCCACAAATACCACATTGTCACCTAACCCATTTCATTATTTTTACATTTTATTTAGGATGACAAGATCAAAACAAAATAATAAAGTAGAAAGAACACATTAGAATACAATTTCGTAATTTTTAATATCAAATTACATAGAATCACTTCTATAACGGAACAATCATATATGATGTGTCATATAATTTTGGGTCAAGCAAGCGGGTTCGGTCATGTTCAGGTTGGGTTAGTCGGGTCTCGGGTCAATCAGGTTGTGGGTCAGTAGTGCTACGGGTCAGTCGGGTTATGGGTGGATCAGGTTGGGGGTCAACTAGATTATAGGTTTATTGGTTGCAGGTCGGTCAGGGTACGAGATGTTGACTTTTAGTCAAATCTGGTTGTAGGCAGGTTACAGGTCATTTTGATCAATCCGGTTACTCGGGTCGGGTTATATTTTGACAGCTCTATTTATGTTTAAAATTTTTTGAAGATTTGGGTGGATCAAGTAAGGTTTAAATTTTCGAACATTTAGTACTCAAGTTTAAATTTGTTTAAGAGTGGCATCAATTCATTACCGGTTTTTTAACAATCTAATAGCAGTTACACCGGTAAAATGTGAACAATTGACTATATCGATTCATATAATCCCGACAACATTGCTATTAACCTTAATTAAAACAAATTTATACTATAAACCCTTGTTTTAATGTATCCACAGATGAAGCATAATATGTTTCCGTACTGCCTCAACCAATTATCAGTCTCCAAAAAAATGTTTATATGCTTGCTTGAAACAACAACTCACAAAACATACGCATTCGAAAATGAAGTTGTTGTCCCTTGGGATATACATTACACTCAAGCGGCTACAATAGGGAATGGTGTTTTTTTGTGTTAGGCGACACTGAAGGAAGTTGCAGCGTTCTCCACAAACTTTCTGGCACCCTTGAACCACCTCTTGTCTCCAGCTTGCGCCTTGCAGATGTAGAGCTTCCCATCTTTCACGGCAGCGCTGATCAGCTGGTGCTTCCCGCCTTCATCTCCGTCGGCGGTCCTCGTCAGCACCGACACAATGTAGTACTGTTTCCCGCCCACCACTGGAGCTGATGTCTCCAAGATGTTAGCCGTCGCGACCTCACCAGACTGGAACCCACCCTGCATCACCACAATCACCGCCGCGTTCCCAAATCAGCTCAACAACGGTATATGATCCAGAATTGAACATCTCTCAACAACTCGAGTTATTGGGACCAACAAATCACGAAATGGGAGCGCAACTGATGAGACATGGGAGGAGGGATACCTCCGAATCGGTCTTGCCAAAGTAGGCCTGCTTTCCGAGCAAGAAGCTGACCTGCATGTTCCAGATATGAATACGTTCATCAACTACAGCCACCAGAGTACATCACTTGGTCGGAATTTGGAATAAGAAATTGGTTACACTTACTTACCTGAGAGAGGAATTCTTCAGGGGTGCCGTAGTCGGTGATGGATTTCTTGTCAGTTGGGGTGACCATAACACTGACGTAGCTGTTGGCGTCAAAATTGTCCTCGTATCTCAAAACCTGCCCTGGATACTCCACCTCTTTGCTAGGGTTCCACTTCGCCGGGATCGAAAGCTTGAACCCTTCGCCATTGTAGGGCAAGAAATCCGTGTTCGTCTTTGGCTTCCCAAATATGTTTGCTGCCTCACATAAAAAAAGAAGGGGAAAAAAACCCCATTCAACAAATTGTGACAAACCGTATACACGCTAGAAAATGTAAATAATTACAGATTCTCTTCTGTTGGATCTAGAAAATTCTCTACAATTCAATTAGCATCAATGTGGTTGGTTGAACGAATTACCGGATTCACCGTAGGCGGCGTCGGCAGGGGCGGTCTTGGAGCCAATGGCAGCGGCTCCGACGAGGAGAGTGAGGGCCAACCGACGCGACAAGGCGCCCTCGCTGCCGGTGTCCTGATCATCGGCCTGCTGCTGCTGGTTTTTCTGGGCACGGCAGAGTAGCCTGCCGGCGGCGGGAGAGGGAAGGCGCTGAACGGCGGATGAGGCGGCGGCCGCTGACCTGGTGGAAGTTGTGAGGGCGGCGTGGTGGAGGAAGCATGCTGTGGAAGCCATTTGAACTGTTACTTACTCTTTGTTTGCTCCCCCGGATCTCCTTTTTCTTATTTCCCTTGTGGAACTTTCAGGTATTGATTTGAAAAAATGAAGGGCGTGAAGAAACAAGTGATTGCCAATTGGCTGGTTTTGGATATTGAGATGACGAGGAGGATTAGATTTTGTGGTGTATGGGATAAGCCTGCTGAGCCTCTCACTTTGTGACACCTGGCATTTGGAAGGGGCCGAGCCAATGGGTTGGGTTGGGTTCGTTTCCCTCCTTTGTGCCAAGCGGAGGGGGAAGGGAGGGGAGGGTTCTCAATGTTTCGAACATCTGGATGAAGATTGGCATATAACTAGATTTTGGTCAAAACCACAAGACCAGATTTGCTGATGTACGCCTTATTTGGCTGAAGAAAAATAATGGATTGTCAAATCGGTTTATGTTGGTGCGCTGGTTTTATAAGTGAAATGGTTTGATCGTGGGACAACCAGTATTCATGTCGGTTATGTCAGTTTTAAGAAAATACATGAGAAAAGTGAAAATCCTTAATTTCAAATAAATTAATCATGAAAAAGCAATTAGAATAATTATTTCACACAAAATGATTTAAAGCTAAGAATTGGTAACTAATAGTAAATAATTAAATGCGTCAAAATAAAGTTAGGGATGAGCAATGGTGGGTCAACCGCTAGACCCACTCGACTCATTACATGTTTGGGTAGATGTGGTGGGTGGGTGTGGGTCTTCGTTTGTGTCACCCACTAATTTTGGGTGGGTGGGTAGAGAATGGAACGTTACCTGCAAAATCACATGATATATTAAGTTGTTAATGCACATTCTATAATAAAACACTATATTTTCTTATACCAAAACTTCAATCGTGATTGATTCAATTAAATTAAAATGGTCTTTTATATATTTTACTTGATTTACAACATAAAATCGATTATTTTAAAATATGATAACCATCAACACAATATTTTGTGTTCGCAAATTAGACAATTGGTGTTAGGTTATGCAATAAACTACGTTTAATAGCTATGGATTTTCTTGATTTGTAGTACTTATTTTCAATTAGTTTCAAGCAACATTTATGACTCATAATTATTTAATTATTTAAAAATAATTTGACCAACCAAAACCGCCAAACCCACCCACCATTTGTTGTCACCCACCCACCCACAACGATACATTTGAGTGGGTGAGGTCATTTTTTCATCACTCACCATAACAATGGGTGGGTGGACTTTGCCCAAAACCCACTCACCCATTGTCCATCCCTAATAAAAGTATATAAAATGAATTTAATTAATATTTATAATGATTTGTGTAAAATATAGTATTAGATATATAATATATAAGGTTTATATATACAATAAAGTTGTTTGTAGCTTGGTGGTGTATAACTGAAACTAAAATGAACATGAGGTACTTGGTTCAAACTCTATGAATGGTGTTTATTTTCGGATATAATGTGTGTAACACTGAATTTCGATTTCGGGTCTAATCAGCCGTAATTTCCGGATTTGACCAAATCTCACTGGCATTGATCGGAATTGACAAAAGCTAAATACCAGCCCCTTTCCAGTTGGTTTGGTGACTGATACCAATTGAACCGGCCAACAGAAAACCGGTTTGGCAACCATGGTCATATGAGACAAGCATACACATGGTAATACATGAATTGTTAATATGATTTTATAATTAGTTTCTAGAAAACATTTCATTGATAACATTTTTATTCTAATGGGTTGACCACAATTAATGCAAATTTATAAAGACAAGGGAACGCTTGTCATTATTAAAAATTGGCTTGGTAGCCATTAATTTCTCCTCACCACAAGCATCATGAAGCATATCACAATACACAAACCAGAAATCACAATAAAACCATACCACAAATATCATAAAGCATACATAAAATCTCATAAAGAAACCTTACAACACTACAAAATTCATGAAGCATACTAAAAAACTCATAAAATATACCGGAAAACTTATAAAGCATATCATAATCTCACCACATCATATAATTCATAAATCACACCATGAATACCAGCAAGCTTATAAAGCATACCGTAGGTTTCTTAAAGAAGACGACAAGTCCTCGAAGCATACTAGAATCCTCATAAAACATATCACAAGTTCATTAATGTAGACCACAAGTTTATCAAAGCACATCTGATTCGGGTCTAATTGCACATGTTTTACCCTTTGTTTCTTGATCGTTTGACTTGGTAAATAACGTACCCCGACCTATTTTACAATAGGTTGTGCTATTTTTGCTACATTTCAGGTCCTAACACGTGTGGGAAGGTCGATGACGAATTTCTGCACGAATGGAGGTCGAAAAGCGCCAAAATGTGAAGAAAGAGCTGAGGTCACAGGCTGGGAGAATTTGTCACGGTCCATGGCCCGTGAAGATTGATCATTGGCCATGAAGATCGTAGAGGAATAGGAGGTTTTGTACACCTCGTAGGTAGGTCAATTGTCACGGTCACCAAACCGTGACAATATCCCGCAGAACGTGACATTGGACAAAAAAGGCAGCAAACTCCTGCGTTTTTTGTCGAGATCACGGGCAGGTGTCTGATGTTACATCCAAACCGTGATGTTGTCTCTCGGGTAAAATAAGTAGAAGGCAGTTGGGAGAGAGAAGTGAGAGCTTGGCTGGGTTTGGAATTTCTGGGTTCCCTTCTAGGGTTCCGACCCAAAACCCCAAAGGGGAGATTTCTAGAGAGAGAGAGACCTAGATAGTCCTTGGAGATTTTTTGGAGGATATCAGTATATCATCCACCATTGAAGCTTGGAGACCAACCCCTAGAAGATGAAGATGGATGAATTTGTTGAAACACCCTAACCCGATCGGTTACTAATTTTACCAAAATGCCCTTGTTAAAATGGAAAAAACACTCAAGAGCCATAAACTCTAAAAGCAGCATGAAAAATTTTCATTAATAAAATACTTAAATCACACACTTTGAGTTCAAAGCAACGCCCCTAACATGTGGGCAAACTCAATTCTTAAAATCTTAACATGATCTCTAAACTAAACTCATAATCATAAAATGTAATAACTAAGAAGTTCTTGTTGCGGCTAACCGAGATCCGTTTCTCCGACGTCTGTAGTGATGCTCATGCTTCTCTCTTCTGGCTAGATGCTCTCGAACTGGGTGCTCTCTCATTTCTTTACTACAACCTGGTGAATGAGTTGGGGTCAATCGACACTCTTACGTTTAAAATTTCTAATACTTGAGCACTTTACTTAAAACGTTTAACTTAGCTAGGAGAGTCGTAACGATTCATCCCCCTAACATTTTAAACTTATCGTGGAAGTTGTAACGATTCATTCTCACGATTCTCAAGAGCATAATTGCTGCTCATCTTAAAAGTCTCAAGAGCATAACTGTTGCTCTATCTCAAAATCTCAAACGGGAAACAGACTGCCGCTAGTGACTAAGAACTCTTAAAACAAACAAAAACTAAAGTGCTTGAAAAGTAAATATTGAAAACTCAAGTAAGCACCTCAAACAATATTTCAAATGAAATCATGCATTATCAAGCACAAACATAATCAAACACTCGACTTCAAGTAAAGCAATTACTTAAACAGGTAAGGCCAATACGGCCTAAGTTCAGGTCCTTAAACCCCATTTTTTACGAAGGATCTTAAAGCAATTCTATTGGCTGCTGGAGTTTTAGGTAGTTATGAGGGAGTTATTGGCTAGGTAGTTAATAAGGGTTTTTTAGGAATTATGTTTAATAATAAAATTATAATAATTAACCTATTATTAGTCCACGTATTATTCCTAAACATCATTCCGCAATCCCAGCCAAAATGTCAGTCTCCACAAAGTTCACCTATGTCTTCCCGTTTCCCTCGTCGTTTGTCCGGCTTCCGACATCCCTCACGTCCGTCGTCGATCCCTTCCTTCGTTCATCCTTTGTCCCTCGTCGTTAATCTTTCGTCGTCGTTTCTATCGCAGTTGTCTGTCAATAGCAAGCTTGTTGTCATCTTTCTCCCGTCCCATCGATTTCTGACTTGCCGTCGAGTTCTCGTCGAGGTCACTGAAAGCAACGGCTTCCGGCATTACTCCACTCCTTTCTCCTCTCCCGTCGGCTGCCTACAACGTTCTTCTATTTGATTCGAGTTCCGTCAATACCAAGCTTTTTGTTTCTGTCAACAGCGGCATAAATCCGGCTTCCGACGTCGCTCACATCCGTCGTCGTTCCTTTCCGCAGTTGATCACGTCGTCGGCTTCCGGCGTTGCTCTCATCCGTTGTCAGTACCTTCTTTTTCTCGCTTGTTATTGTTTTTAATGTTTAGGTTTTTCGTTTGTTTCATAGTTTTAGGGTTTCGTTGTTGTTAAATGTTTTTTTGTTATTATAATAATATGTAGGCTAATTCTCTCGTTTAGCGAGGGTTTTGCGAGTGGCGGAAAACCTAAAGTTTTCCGAAGCAGAGTAGGGTAGGGTTAAAGCGCGGCGGCTCCCTGATCGGCTATATTACTTAGACCTGTTCGAGATATAGCGCATAGAGATCTACTGAAGGTGTCAATACAAGTCTCTATTGACAATCATAGAGTTTGTTCGGTGGAGAGATTGAGCAAAAGACGTGTTTCGTAAGGCTCCTGTGAGAAGCCTGACAAGGTAAACCAATATTAGAATGGAGAATTCCTTTGATAGCGATGAAATCCCATTGGTGGAGGAATCCACAAAAGACAATCTCGATCCCACTGGCGTGATCGAGTAGAAGCTGACAAAGATCACTCTAGATGAAGAAGAGGAGGAACCGCTGGAAGTTGAAGACGCGGATGTTGACGTGGTTCGCATGGAAGCAGTAAGGCACCTAGGGCTGATTGGCCGCCTGGTATCAGAAAAGAAACCAAATATAAAATCGATGAAGATGCTCTGTCAAAAGCATGGGGCCTGAAAAAGACTTACCAAATCACAGATTTACAGAATAATCTGTTTGTGTTTCAGTTTCTGGAATTTGATGACCGAAACAAGGTCTGCTACGGGGGGTCGTGGCACTATGAGAGCAGTATCATGATCTTTAAAGCCAGCTGGATGATTAAAAAACCTACGCCTGAGGACCTGCATGAGATTGACATCTGGATACAAATTAAAGGCTTTCCGGCAGAACTGAGGACCCAATCCATGGCGGAGAAACTAGCAAAGCGTTTCGGGGAGCTAGTGTATTTTGAGGATGGTGCAGATAAAATGTGGGAAGATTACATGAGATTAAGGGTGCATCTGTCTATAAGAAACCCACTTAAGAAGAAAGTGAAGCTGAACATAGGTGGCAAACTAGTGGACTACCAAGTAAAGTACGAAAAATTACCGCTTTTCTGCCACTCTTGTGGGAGAATCGGGCATGTGAAGATCAAGTGCCCTCAACCGTCACAGCTGGCGATAGACC